CTGCTGGTGGTCCTGATTGTCTCTCAGAGTGTGTGTGTGATGTTCTTCTACACACTGGACACACACTCACACGGGTGAGTTCAGCGATACTTCATATTTCCTCTGGTCAGATCAGACCATCTCATCTTCCTTAGTGAATATATATATATATATATATATATATAATGTATGTATATATATATATATGTATGTGTGTGTGTGTGTGTGTGTGTGTGTGTGTGTGTGTATACAATACTTATATGTGTGTGTATGTATGTGTGTATATAGTGTTGAAGTCCTCTATATATTTGTTCTTACTCAAATATTTCGCAAATGATGTTGAACAGATTCAGGGATTGTTCACAGTATTTTTGTTCTTCTGGAGAAAGTCTTATTTGTTTTATTTTGGCTAGAGTAAAAGCAGTTTTTAATTGTTTTAAAGCCATTTTAACCCTTAGGGGTCTGAGGGTGTTTTGGGGCTCTGGGGAAGTTTGGACATGCACTGACATGTGTGTTGTTTTCAGTATTTTAAAACATATTAATGGCTAAAGTGTGACAACAGTGTAAACAGCACAAGCTGGGCTACAATAATACCTGAGCAGCATGCTTGTATGGGTTTGTGTTTTTGAGAAAGAAACGTTTATGCGTGTAGTTGGTATGGAATAGTTGGTGGTTCATTCCGCTGTGGCGACCCATGATGAATAATGGGCTAAGCTGATGGAAAATGAATGAAATACACTTTTACAATTATTTACTAACACAATATTGCTCTTGTCTTGACTGAATGGCTGGATTTTGAATCGGTTTCTCTGTGTTTTAATAGAGTCATGCAGTGAATGTAGAAAAAAGCATTTCGAAATGTAGAGCTATTTATTTTATTTAGCAGTGGTGGTTTTTGAAAGAAATTCCATGCACACCACAATGCTGACTTCCACACAATTCCTTCATGTTGAGTTATGCAAGATATCCAACGCAATCTCACGGCAATTTGTAACTTTTTCATTTAGTGGCTAATTCGTACAAATTCGTACGATCTAATTCGTACATTTTAGTACAATTTGCGTATTCCCCAATGACGGTTGGGTTTAGGGGTGGGGTTAGGTGCCACGCCTCCTTTTTAAAATCGTACATTTTCTTACGACTGAACTCGTACGAATTCATACGAATTAGCCACTAAACTGCCAAAACGTAAAATACTTACGTTTTCTCGTGAGATCAGGCTGAGATATCTTAAAAACTAATAGGGCTCTATCATACACCCGGCGCAATGTGGCGCAAGGCGCAGCGAAATACTCTTTTGCTACTTTTAGCTCGGCGCAAGGGTCATTTTGAGGTGATGCGCCACATTGTTTAAATAGCATATGTGCCCATAGGCGTTCTGGTCTAAAAAAGCAGGCGTGTTTTGGCGCGTTGCTATTTTGAGAAACTGTAAATAGTCTGATCTTTAGACCAGAACAAAGTCGGTCTATTGTCTGGCGCAAAGAGCGCCTGGCTTACACACTACAAACAAGATGCAGAGCAATACGCAAATATCTTTACATATGAAAAATATATGATATATATATATATAAAAGGATATATACAGGATATAAATAAAAATTATTAAAATATTACAAAAACTATTAATTTCTAGCCTACATGAAGATTTAAAAACCACTGCCTGACTTTCTTCATCTCGGGAGGCTTTTTCAGTTCATCCATAACAATCTGCTTTTGTATAATGTTATTATTATTAGCAGTATTATTTATTATATCCATATTTATATTTGTTTTATTAAAAACAAGCTTAGATTTGACCACCTGCAGGTTTTAGACCATATGGGGCATGGCAGGTGTATTTGGAAATATTTTGACCACACTTGGTCATTATTGTTCATTTATTCGTTTGCTGGAAATTAGAACTGAATTTAGAAATAGTTTTGAAACAAATCTTTGCGCTTAACAAACGAAATTAATTATTTTTAGGCTAATGGATGTCTGTGCGTAAAGGTTTCCCTATCCACGAGAGTAAAAGCGAAAGTGAACTTACTTTACGTCAAAATGCGCTCATGATGCAATGCAGCTGGCTCTTAAAGGGAATGGGAGATGAGACTCTGATTGGTTTATTCTCAAAACACACCTATAACTCATTAAGAGAATAAACTCAACCCTGTTACACCATGTGCCACGGCGCAAAGTGGATTTTCCTGTCCTTAAATTAGCAAAAATGCGTCCTGACACGCCCTGAAAGCATTTGCGCCCTGCGTTTTGCGCTCTGTGCATGGACCATCAAAATAGAGACCTTAATCTTTGTTTAATCATGATTAATTATATCCAAAATAAACATTTGTTGTGTGTTCGCGTGTGTGTGCGCATGTGTGTGTGTGTGGGTGTGCACGTGTGTGTGTGTGTGTGTGTGGGTGGGGTCACTGTAAATAAGCAGTTTGATCAAAAATTTTGAGTGCATTAAGCAGTGTGTAAGCAAGGCGCACAACTAATGTGCTCTGCGCTGGAGTTTAGACCGGGTTTGTTTTGGTCTATTGAAAAATCTATTATAGTTTGTCAAAATAGCAGCGCGCCAGCAGTGCGCCTCAGAACGCCTTCCTTTTTAGACCAGAACGCCTATGGGCGCACATATGAGCGCTAATGCATTTGCTATTTAAACAGCGTAGCGCAACACCTCAAAACCACTCTTACGCCAAGCTGAAACTATCAAAAGACTATTGCGCCACGCCTTGCGCCTGGTATGTCAAGGATAATTTCTAAAGTCAATATTTACACATTTACTTGATGTAATAAATGAGTAAAGAGTTAAACATTAATATTCATTTACTTCTTTCAGTCATTCATTTTCCTTCGGCTTAGTGTCTGTTTCAGAGGTTAGCACAGCGGAATAAACCAGACATTGATACAGACGCCACACATGTCAAGTCGTAAAACTGAGGCTGGTACCAGCGAACAGAATAGCTGAAGCCTTTGCGAAATCTGTCAAAATACAGCACTGAAATTAACAGACATGAAAGTGCCTGAGCCAAAACGTCTATCTGTAGGATGTCTGTATAAACGCAATCAGAGCCAATGTTATGTAGCAGTGGTGTCGCCTAATAATTATATTAATTCTAATAAAATGAAAACCAAAATAAACAATTCATTGCATTTTCCGTTTGATAAAAAATATACGGAAACTAAAAAAAAAATCGAAGGGTGGCTAGTTTGTATCAATATGTTTTAATATTAATAAAAATATGCTTGATCTATTTAAGCTAAGCGGCTATACGCCGCCAATATGTATAAATACATTTACTGTGTACTGGGTTATAGTGTATATTTTACAATAAAAACTAAATGAAGCACGTCGCTCTGTCATTTAAAACATGCATTCACAAAACACCACAGCTGTAGTCTATGAAGTGTGTAAATTTACAGGGAGGTGTTGGTCAATAGTCATACTGCGCACCACCTTATTGAACTCCAATATCTCTGAGGGAGATTATGTTACCAGATACCAATATTAACCAATATTAACTTGAGAGATTTTACAAATAAAAGGTGTTTTAAAAAGGAACAACACGCAAATAACTAAACAAACATAACTGGTCCCGTGGAGTTTGTCCAGCACTTGTCATCTTGACAGTCAGTGTATGTGTATAGCGCTCTTATGCAGCGCGTGTTGGCAATTCCTGCAAAACTGAAAGTGAAACTATACGAACGCATTTATAAGCTTTTTTAAAAGCAGAAAAAAAGAAGAAACCCCCACCCCCACCCCCACCGGTATTACCAACACAATCTCACGGCAATTCGTAACTTTTTCATTTAGTGGCTAATTCGTATGAATTCGTACGATGTAATTCGTACAATTTAGTATGATTTGCGTATCCCCCAATGACAAATGGGGTTAGGGGTGGGGTTAGGTGCCACACCTCCTTTTTAAAATCGTATCATTTCGTACGACTGAAATCGTACGAATTAGCCACTAAACTGGCAAAACGTAAAATACTTATGTTTTCTCGTGAGATCAGGCTGGTATTACCGATGTTGTCACATGTTGATTAACCGGGGGGGAAATTTCCTCATCGTCACAACCCTACATTACGCGGGGTTATGGCTCAGTTTTTGGGGTTTCTGCTTAAAGGGTGGTGTTACTTATAGCTGAGAATCGGTACCAATAATAAACCTGTTTTGGGCCAGTTAAGGGGGATAAGTTGGCTGAGATTCGGGCCAGTTATGGTCCACGTTTCTTTAATCCAGTGTGGCCTGGAGCTGGGCCAGAAAACATTTGCTCTGTGGGATGTAGAGTATGAATGACAGAAGTGTTCGGGAATGTGTTTATTGCTTGTATTTGGTGTAACGCAGTGGAAAAGTATTCTCCGTTTGCTCCATATAGACTCCTGTTTAGCTGACTGTCTGAAAATACTGCTTCAGGATTACATGATGCTTGACAGCGGCTGAAGAGGCTGTAGCAGGACAAGAGAACTTGGTGTTTTACATCTGCATGCCTTGTTTCTATAATCAAACATGCACACTGACGAGAACTAATAAGCTTCTGATTACCTTTTTTTACCGCTGTGCCATAAAGCATGCCCCTGCTGTAATTGATGTCATGATCCTGAATCAACAGTTTGAGTCAGTGAAGTCGATTGCGCTTTGTTTTTATAGATTATCAACATGTAGTATAAAACCTTTTTATTGGAACTGAGGTGGCACAATGGCTTCACTGCAAGAAGGTCACTGGTTGAAGTCTCGGCTGGATCAGTTGGCGTTTCTGTGTGGAGTTTGCATGTTCTCCCCGTGTTCCTCCAGGTGCTCCGGTTTCCCCCACAGTACAAACACATGTGTTATAGTGTGTGTGTGTGTGTGTGTGTGTGTGTGTGTGTGTGAATATGTGTATATCATACATCAGAGGGGGAAAGCCACACCCACCAGTCCCATCTCTTCCTCATTTGCATAAACAGCAGCCCTGAGTGAGAAGCAGCCGTCTGTCCATTAGCCATTAGAGTGTTTGAGCTGCTGAAGGTAATGTCAGCATAGACTAAGAGGATTATAGATGTGGCGTTTCAGATGAACAGCAACAGGAGCGACATAGACTGACAGAAGCATGAAGCACACACTCACACTGAAGCGCACATGACCAGCACTCACAACACACACACTGCTGTTTTACATCTGTCACTATGGTGTTTGTAGCTCCGCCCTCTTCTTAGAAGAGCACAATCTCATTTGCATTTAAAGCGACATGCGGTCAACAAAACATCACTATCCAAGTGTATGGTGTGTGAGTGTCAGTGTGTGTACGCATCGTGAGGATCAAAGTCTGAAAGGGTCAGTTCCGGAGAGCTGGAGAACATTATCTGTGTGCTATTTTCAGCTAAAACTTCACACTCTTGAGACATCAGAGACTTTACGTCTTGTAAAAAGGCCACAATAGGTCTATTTTAACACATATGTAACCACTATTTCTGTCGTTTTCCTCTTTCAGAGATGCTCTGACGGATTCGCTCCAGCTGCTGCGCTGTGCAAGACTCAGACGCCGGTTCTCCGTCCTCACCCCCGCCAAGAGGTGCGAAGAAACCAGAGTTGCATTCTAAAACGAACATTACAGCTGCTTTTTTTTGTAGACTGAACATGATTGTAAAATATCATAAAGATATCGCCTGCCATAAAGATATAAAGCAAAACACCCAACCATTAAAGCAAAGCATCGTAAAGTTTAATAACTTTGATTGTAAACGCTCTCGGTTGGCAGATGACACTTTAGAAAATGAAATCCTTAACTTTATTTTTTGCCTTCTTTTTATTATTATTGTTATTATTATTGTTACTGTTAATTATTAATATATTGTTATTATTATTAGTGTTATTAGTGTTATTATTATTAATATTATTATCAGTGTTATTATTATTAATATTACATTTACATTTACATTTAGTCATTTAGCAGACGCTTTTATCCAAAGCGACTTACAAATGAGGACAAGGAAGCAATTTACACAACCAAGAGCAACAATGAATAAGTGCTATAAGCAAGTTTCAGGTCTGT